AGCGTCCAACAGGAAGTGGTTTATAGACACGCAGCGTGGTCGATCGCTACGCCGAAGCCTTATTAAACCAGACTCCGAATAAGAGCCGAAGCCAAACGCTGAAATGCATGGGGCAATTACCCTATAGGTGGCTCACCAAAAACTAAAAACACGTTGGCTGCCTCTTCTCAGCAAAGTGCTAATTGACGTTGACATTCAGAGTCAAAATGTTCCAGAGGCTGCGAGGCTTGCTCAACGCAGAAATCCGCAGGACGCTCGCGGTCAAGGGATGGCGATGAATTCATGAACTTGATGATTTCACACGGACATATTGATTTATCGTGTAGGTATATAAATGCCGAATATTAATTACTATTCACCACCTCTCCCCGCCTCACCCATATCGCGCATGACGTTATAAACTCCTTGTCATCACCTCTGCCACGTCCCTTGACATGATCACTTCCTCTGATCCGCGCCTCACCCATGTCGCGTGATGTCATCAACACCCCCCACTGTCATCACCACCCCTGCGCATCTCGTGACGTCAACGCTCTCCTCACCACCTCGCCCCAATCTGGCGTGACGTCTATACTCCTCCAAACACCCCAGCGCGTCTGACATCATCAATGGCCTCCCCACCCTCAGCCCAATCTCGCGTGACATCATGCCGGGGTGCGTTACACACAGAGACGAAGACAAAGATCCCCCGCATAGCCTTGAACATATAGTTGGGGCAAGTGCTGTTAGCGAGTAGCACCTATGAAGGCCGGAATGGCACACGAGGGGGTGGGGGTGGCCAGCACCACGCCTGACCGCCTTTGTCTCCCCAGTCGCGATGTTTACACATCGCACCAGGTACTCATCTGAGGCCGAGTCGACCTAGAGGATGCCCAGAACCGGTTCAGATAATCGTCATTGGTGTTGGTGGCCGTGAGCGGGAATCGAATCCGGGTCGCCGGGTTCGTAGCGCAGCGCGCTAACCGCTACACTATCCGCACGCATGCACAAACAAGCGTATTTGTTATGATACGAGGTAATAATAACAGGGCTGCCTGAGTGTGTTGTGCCGCTCGGCGGAACTCACGGGCACCGCCGCCGTGACGGGCGACGGCGCAGGATCCTAACGGACTCAAGGGGGGCGCCGCATAGCGGTGGCAGCGGCGGAGGATCCAATAACATTCACTTCGCACGTTTGCCGCTTCTTTGACGTTCGCCAGAAGCCTTCGGAGAAATAAGATATCCACCACTTTTGAGCGCGAATGCAAACTCATTTTTCATTTAAAGGCAGGACCTTTGGGAGGAAATTAACATCCAAACAGAATTTTCGGATCTTTAGTTTTAGTAATTAATCACCCAGCACGTGCCACAATCCAGGACACAATTATAACAATCATCTACCCATTTAATTACCCTGCGTGAAGCATTCTCAACGCAATTAGGCGGACGGTCCCAAACGACACGTCGCGATGAAGTGGGGAGGGGGCCTGCGTGGGGAGTGGGAGGCAATGCCGCCCGCCCACGTGGGAACGCGATTTTTTCTTCTTTTTCTATAACGTATAAAAGTACCATTCGGGGTATGCCTGAGGAACCGGTGGCGGTGCCGCCAGTTTCTGCAGATGCCCACCATGCGCCTGCAGGCTTTCCGCAAGCGCCTGCGTCGACGTCCGAGACGGACGCTCGGCTGGCGATTTGAAACAAGCGGCTGGGATAACGTGGGGGGGTCGTCGCTCGAACGAGCCACGCGCCGCTCGGCATCCCGCCGGGGCGGTTCCTGAGCCAGCCGGGGTGAGGGGGGTGCACGTGCCCCATCGCAGACTTCGGCCTCTCCGTCGGGATAGCGAGAGGGACCGTGAAGACGGCGAGCCACACAAGAGCCCAAGCAGACGAGGGTTCCCTCTCGTTCTCTCTCTCGTTCTCTCTCTATCATTATCTGTCTCTCGTTCTCTCTCTGTCATTTTCTCTCTGTCATTCTCTCTCTGTAATTCTCTCTCGTTCTCTCTGTCATTCTCTGTCTCTCGTTCTCTCTGTCATTCTCTGTCTCTCGTTCTCTCTCGTTCTCTCTCTGTCATTCTCTGTCTCTCGTTCTCTCTCGTTCTCTCTCTGTCATTCTCTGTCTCTCGTTCTCTCTGTCATTCTCTGTCTCTCTATCTCTCTCGTTCTCTCTGTCATTCTGTCTCGTTCTCTCTCTGTCACTCTCTCTCGTTCTCTCTCTGTCATTCTCTCTCGTTCTCTCTCTGTCATTCTCTGTCTCTCGTTCTCTCGTTCTCTCTCTGTCATTCTCTGTCTCTCGTTCTCTCTCTGTCATTCTCTGTCTCTCGTTCTCTCTCTCTCGTTCCCTCTCTCCCGAAATGAATCCGCTGTGCAAACGCGACCGCTGTTGACTTTTCCCAGTACGGAACTCGTTTTTTTTATTAAAATGCGAGTCTCCCTTGAGATGTAAACCTCTTGTCTTTGTAGGTGCTTACCTGCCCCAATATATAGGTTTGCGTTTTTTTTTATCTATCCTATTTCATTGACCTGAAAGGGACAACTCGACATCATCATCAGCCACAATCAATCTACTGCTGGATGAAGTCCCTCGTAATCCGTCGCCACACCTCAGCCCCCCCCCCCCCCCCCCCGAGATTCAACCCTCCACACTAACGTCTGCACACGTGAGCCGATTTCACGATAACATCATCAGTCAGTCTCCTAAATTGAACGAGATGGATTAAATAAACCCATCTGGGACGAGCAAAACATTGCATCGTGCGCAGAGGTGGACTGGGCCAAACGGATATCAAAACTGATTTTAATACCCGCATTTGTATACACGACGAGGTCCTCACAGGCTGCAGCCCCATCGTCCGAGCCTTGAAAAACGGCTTTGCGAGGAACACGAAGAGGCTCAGCCTGATCTGAGCGACCACGCACATCGCACGCCGTGCCGCTTACTTGGGGGATAAATCGGTCGGGCGTCATCGGCTTACGCTAAACGCCAGCGTGCTCACCAGCTCCACGAAACAGTGCGGCGTGAATTATTTATCTTGCCAACGTGCAGAGGCGATGTGGGAACGCGTTGCGAGCGAGATGCGGCGATGTTGGGACATCAGGCGATTGCTCCAGCGTAAAGGAAGCCGTCATTAAATCATAATCGAGGCGCTGGAGATTGGCTCGTGTAAGAACGATCGCGATCGTCGCGATGACGGATGTGGTGATGTTGACGACGGCGGTTGTGGTTATGATGACGATGATGATGATGATGTGTTGCTGCTTGTCATAATGATGTTGATAATAATGGCAATCATGATTACGATGAGACTGCCACTGCTGGTGATGCTGATGATGATTGCGATCATGATGATTTTGACGACGACAATGATGCTGCTGTTGCCGCTGCTGTTGATAATAATTTAAATGATGCTGCTGTTGATGATAATTATGATTTAACTGCTGACAAAGATGTTCTTGCTGCCGATGATTACTAAACAGAAGTCCCTCTCAACGTTCATGTTGGAGGATCGGGCTCAAAAGCCATTTAAACGGCACGCTACATTCCTGTGCATGCGTCAGTGCCCACTGGGAGCTGACGCACACCCAAACATGTACAGCGCGTCAAGACGGCCAGGACCATCGCAGCCGGGCATGAGAGGTGCGCCGAGATAACCCCACGTAGACCCGAGTCGTCGGCTGACGCTACCGACACCTGGACAAACACCGGGCGGCCTTCGCTCGGCGCCACGAGCTCACCCCGTTAGCCGTGCACGTCGCGACATTTGCCCAACATTTAGTCCCCGAATTGATAGCCACTCTCCACGCAAGAGGGTAGGAGGTGAAGCGCGATATACGGAAGAGGGGTTACAGGAAGACGCGGGCCCTCAACAAATAAATGCACGAATGAGCACGCACACAGCTCTCGCTCCCGTCCTGTGGACGCGTTGCTAGGCTGCGCGTCCCTCGCTGTCCCACAAAGATCTTGGAGTTTCGCGATAGAAAACGAGGGGGTCAGGGCTTGCCCCCACCATGGCACGCGAGCGACATCGCCGCGTTGACGACGAGATTTCAACGTGGGAGGACAGGCATCGCAGTGACGTCACCCGTTGTCGTCATCGTCACCATCCCCTTTACTGGAAGGGTCATGTGGCACGCCGGTGATGCTTTGGCCAATCGACTCTCTCCACCTTCCGGGTTCGACTGTGATCTGGCACCTTGACCGACCCCTGTCTTCCTCAACCTTTCCACTGGGCCCTGCAGGACGATGCCTGAAAGTCCCTCTGGGTCTTCAACGCTGTCAGACCAGTCCTTCCTCTCTTTGCCGTTGCCAAAAGTGATTCTGGTACCCCGATCTTTATCGTCGCCATGGTGATGTCAAAGTGCCACAGAGGCACGACTGACAGTGATGATTATTTCTTTAAGCACCCAACTCGTTTGGGGCAGCCTGGGACGCACACTCGCACGCACGCACGCACACACACACACACACAACGTAGGCAGTCTGTATCTTGTGGGCTGCATCTTCTGTTAAAATAGGACCGGAAAATAACGTAAGCAAAATGCGGCGGATCACACTCCACGGAAGGAGTTAAAAGGCGCGCGATGCCGGAATCTTAACAGCCGTCATTCTCGGCACCCTGGGTCAGGACCCTCATTTCACAGCGGCGATCACTTCCCACCGCCTATGTCCCCACGAGCCCAGCCGCGCCGAGGCAGCGGCACCCCCAGAGCGCGGGACAAGCGCCGGCGAGCGATCGGCAACACAAAACAAAACATCATTCCCGATCTGGCCGAATCAGCAGTTGTTTTATATGGCCTGGCTCTCTCATGGGGAGGTTGTCCATTATCAAAGGGCCTCTGGGTTTTCCTTGGCAATCATGCATTTGTCTGCAACCAATCTAGTTTTGTTTTGCTTGTTGTGTTCATTCGATTTGTTTTCTTTTTTTTATTACTCGAATGTTCCACTAGCCACGTGTACGTCGACTGATTTTTATTCGTCTCCCCATGTCCGCGAGCCACGTGCCGCGCGCGAGCGTGCCACTCACCCTTCGAGCCGCACGTCGGGCAGGGAGCGGTTGAGCGCGATGCGGTCGCTCGCCATGACGTTGAACTGATTGATTTTAAAGAGCTCCCTCATCCGCTCCTCCTGCGCCTTGGGGATGACCACCGGCTTCCCCATTTCGCCGGGGCCCTCGCGCGCCCTCGAGATCACACCTGGGACGACAGGAGACACGCGGTGGGGGGGGGGGGGGTGTGAGGGGGCCGCACCGCCGTCACAAAACGAGCGCGCACCCCGGCGCGCGGTTTTAGCGGCGCGCGACAGCGAGCGGCCGAGCCGGCGACGGCGCACGTCGCTCGGTAACAAGGACAACGACCGACTACTGCGAGAGCGGCCTCGCGGGTACGGCGGCGTGTCGAGCGTTCCAACTTTCGAGCCGCCATCACCACGAGCTCTCCTCGGAGTCCCCCCCCACCCCGTTCGCAAGGCAGAACTGTGTCGCAAATATGCGTGGAGCGGTGGCGCGGTGGTTAGTGCATTGCTCTCTACCCACCAGGCAACCCGTCTTCGATTCCTGGTTATGGCTGACGTCAGTTGCCATGGACACCTGAACCTGTCCTCGGCACTACCCTTCATCAAGAGACATGAGTTCGATTGCCGCTCATGCACCTCCAGTTGGCTATGTACGGTGCGAAAAGAGTTCAGCATACATACATCAACCCGTAGTAATCGGAATGGTGAAGTATGTATGTATGTTGTAGCCAACCGTGCTCATTGGAGGTGCAGATAGTATGGTCAAAAAATAACCCTCCATGACCGGCACAGCACGAGGGGTTTTTCATCCAGCGGTGCACCGACAAAGAGCTGTAAATAAAATTTTGTAACAGAATACATTCGCTGGGGACGTGAGTAATGAAACATAATTACGTGATTAATAACATCTGTGCGTGCTTTCAATATCGCTTTCTAAAAGGCAGCACACCCCCCACTTTGCACAAATGGCAGAATGTGCTCCACGTCGACGCTAGATGTCACGTTCAAGTTGGCTGTCATAGGTGGTCGCCGCCATGCTCCGGTTAGCGTACAACAAGGAGCGTGTCAGTGACCAACCGTACGAACAAACTGCGAGCCGCACAGACGACTGGCGGTCGGCATGCACCGAGGCACGAAGGCGCTGCAGCGTTATTGAGGAAGTTGTGTTTTTAGCAGGCCACGTGGCTGCACGTTTTTTGCAAATGGAGTAGTGTTTCTGGCTACTGGCCGCAATGCAAATCGGACGCGCCTCTTGCGAGCACTTCCGCCCCAACTTGCCTTCACGTTCACACACAAACTACAACACGGAAAGAGGAAAAAACCCAAAAACCATGCCGACGCATCAAATCTGTAAACACTCCAGGAAAAATTAAATTTATCCGGACGGAAGATTGGGGGCGAAGACCCCGGGGGGGCGGCCCAGGACACGCTGGCGGGACTATGTCGCTCGGCTGGCCTGGGGACACCTGGGAATTCCCCCAGAAAGAGCTCGGGTCTGTCGCCAGGGAAGGGAGGTCTGGACCGCCACGACTCAACATGCTGTCGCCGCGACCCTCACCAGGACAAGCGGACTGAGAAATAAACGAAGCATGAAAGATGCCAGGTAGCAAAACGTCGTCTGCATATTTACAACTGCGTCGTTCGTGCTCGAGTTGGTGGGCTCCAAGTTCTGCTGAACCGTTCGCTCGATTAGGCCGGTTTTAAAGAGCTCCCTCGTTTGCCCCTCCTGGGCCTGGTTTGGGGACGGCCACCGGCTACCCCTTCATTTCGCTGGGGCACCTCGCGTCGCTAGCACGCTCCAGAGTAACTCGGCTTCGCGTCAGAGTTCCCTTTACGTTGGATCACCTTCGTGAGAGTCACAAACGGGGCAACAGAGCTAATGCGGGCACGTGTCCAACCTTAGTGGGGGAAGCGTTGAAAAGTAATCACCGGGCGGAATATCCGATGACTTTGACGGCCGTGTGTTGTGTACACAAGTGACGGCAAACACGGCGGTTGATTAATTTTCTCCGCGACCAATAAGATCGCCGGAGATCTCTTTGAGAGATCTGAACTCGGACGACGAGGCAATTAGCGCGGCAAACACCGCGTGTCACGGCGGGATGGTGGAGATGCCGCATTAGCGCTTCCGCAAATTGGTGCCGTGTGGACATTGCGCGCAAATATTAATCGCACAAAAATGTACTGCAAATATATAAACACAGATTTAAATTGCTCAAAACGATTACCAGAATTAGGAAGGGAAAAAAAGATAAAGATTATATCTGTTGTCTGAGATTACGCTTGGCGGAATTATGCTCGGGACGTTTAAAAAAAAAAAACTTTATCGGGAAACAATTTCCAAAAAGCGGCGAGAATCCCACCGCAAGCTCTTAGGGATTACATAAAGACGATTTCACACCCAGCGCGGAGCGTCAGATGTCCAATCTGTCCACCCTGCCCCAGCCCGTTTCACACAGCACAGGCAAGGCCTCAAAGCTCACAACCTGCAACCTGCCGTAACCCCTCGCTCCTCACATCCACCTGCCCCCCCCCCCCTCACGCCCACCGGGCCCCCCCCTTCGTGCCCACCGGGCACCCCCCCATGTGCACACCTGCCCCCCCCCCAAGTCACGCCCACTTGCCCCCCCCATGCCCACCTACCCCCCCCCCCACCCTTTCCCACCTGCCCGGCCAAAGCGTCCCCCCCTGGTGGATTCCACCTGATCGGTGAGTGGTGCTGGACATGCACCACTGCAGTATGCGCGCGTAAGCTGCGGGGTTATTGATGCCGCATTTTTGCACCCTTAACATTTACCCCGGGCTGAGAACAAGTGCCGATTGTTTTCGTCATAGTTTACCCGCGGTGAAATTGCTGCACTCAACAAAAGCTTCATTATTTGCGTGTGAGGTCATTAGCGGAAGGAAGGGAAAAAATGAACGTCGAGAAAAAATGCAAATGTGAGTGTACTAATTTCACCGGCACTGTAATTATGTGGGAAAAAATGTAACTGCACACTGTTATAAAATGGCACGCAACGTGCATGATGGGTCTATGTGTGATGAATACGTGCTGTGTGTGTGGCTGTGTGTCTCTACGTGTTTCTCTGTATTTTGGAGAGCGATGGTGCAGTGGTGAGCGCACTGCGCTATGAACCCGGCTACACGAATTCGATTCCCACTCATGGCCAACATCAATGACAACTATCTGAACCAGTCCTGAGCACCCCCCCCCCCCCTTCCAGGTCGAATCAGCCTTAAACGAGTACTTGGTGTGATATGTAAACAGTAGCACTCGGGGAGACAAAGGTGGCCGAGTGTGGTGTTGACTACCCACCCCGCTTGACGTCCCGGCCTTCGTAGGTGCTCGTCAAAAGCACATTGCCCCAACACTCTGTCAAAAGCTATTGTCTTTGTTTTTATGCAAATTTGTATCAGTGGTGGTTCATGCATTGAGCACAGCTGTGAGCTCTGGGTTAATTTACCAGCCACGCCACACATAGTCGGTGTCAAGTGATATTTTAACGTGTCATGGGTCTCCCCAAGGTCAAGTCGGCCTTAAATGAGTACTTGGTGTGTCAACAACATCAGAGCTGGCCATACCACCTCCTTTTTACGTGGCATACATGTCTTCACAGGAGCTTGCCAACTGAACTTGCAGTCCGTAAGACTAAACGATGACTCAAAGTGTTGCGTGTGCCTGCATGTGTACGGCATGTGGACGTAACGATCCACTGCTAACGCAGCCGCAGCTGCTGGCAGCACAATGACTTTTGCCCTTTCACCTACGCAGCGAGACAGGTCAATAGCAGCAAGGCCTAACCCTAATCATATTTCTCTTTTAAAAAAAAAAATTAATTCACTACCGAGCAACCACGGTTGTGTGCACATATTCTGCACTCCCAGGCGTGCGATCGCGACCTTTGACTCCACGACCCCGAAACCCACGGCGTGACGCATGGCTCTCACGGTCGGGGTCATCCTCACGGGGACCCCGCCGCTACGGGCCGGGGAGGGGGGTAGGGGGGCAGCGTCGGAGGGAGAAGGGGGCAGCCGAGCGAGGGATCGTCACTCACCCGCCTTCACTCCGCTTCACTCCGCGCCGCGGCGCAGCAGCTGGCCCCCTCTTTGATAATTGCCATTGATTGCGATAATCTACAGCCAAAATAATCCTTGTGTTTTTCTATGTATCGATTGTTCGCTACGGCTGTGATATATGTAAGGAATTAAGAGCACCATGCGGGGGTCAACGCTCCGCCATGTGTCCTGCGCGCGACGTGCGACGTGACTCGTGCCGTCTCCCGAGGTGCGTCGCCAACTCTCGTCGCGCACGCTCCGTCACAGTGGTGCCGGGAAGTGTGAAATGGGACATTAAAAGAGAGCGGTCTCACGCTCACACTCGTTAAAGTAACACCTTGCATCAACACGCTTATTTTATCGCAACGCGGGGACGGAGTCATCTTATTACGCCGAGTGTAACGCACGTTCATTCCGCTACAGGGGCGTGAAGGAGAGTTCAGATGGGAGCGCTCACCGTGGTTACGTTTTTCTCAGTGGCCGCGGGAAGCCAAGGTGCGTTAATTCACGTGAAAATTAGCGGAAGTCGTGGCCAATAAACGTGACTTCTGGAATACACGCAAAACTTGTATGTATGTATGTTGAACCTCTTTCGTACCGTACGTAGCCAACCGTGCTAATTGGAGCCAGTGCAGCTAGCAGCTTTAGATATAGGAGTACGTACACAAAGACTGTTAGGACAAGTGCTGTTAGCCAGAGCCTATGAAGGCCGGGATGGCACATGAGATGGGTTGCTAGCACCACGCCCGGCCGCCTTCATCTCCCCAGTGTCGATGTATACACGCCACACCAGTTACTCATTTGAGGCTGAGTTGACCTAGGGGAGGCCCAGCACCGGATCAAAAATTCGTCACTTGTGTCGGACATGAGCGGAAATCGAACTTGGGTCGCCGGTTACGTAGTGGAGTGTGCTTTCCACTCTGCAACCGCTTCGCAATGCGTGTGTATGTACATGAATAGACAAAAGAGAAAGATCGCCCGTATAGCCTGAACAGACTGTTGGAGCAAGTGCTGTTAGTAAGCAGCTATGAAGGACGACACACCACACAAGGCAGTGGGTGGCCAGCACCACACTCCGGCTGCCTCTGTCTCTCAAGTGGCGATGTTTACACGCCGCACAAGGTAC